TTTAGAATATTCCAGGTGCTGGGAACTTCTCTCTTCATTCTGTTTTCATGTGCATCCATTTGCCCCACTTGGGAGGGGCGATGTCTAGCTTTTTTAAATAACATAAATAAGACCCATATATATCTTATTTTCATATATATTTGTTTTGCAGTTTTTCTTTCATTACACAATGTTTTTGTGATCTTTCTGCATCACAGCAGAGAGTTCTCCCAAGTACTTCTAAATGATTTTAAATTTTTCTATGTACAGAAACTGTTTTTGTTTTGTTTTATCTGTCGCTACCTAGAATGTATCATTATTTTACCAAATATCCTGCAGGAAGTTTCCTTGGTTCCCATGTGCCCCTTTCGTTCATTCTGCCCAGTATTGAGTGTTGCAAATCTCAGAAGTACTCTATTTCTCACTTCCTTGATAGATACTAAACACTAGTGTGGTAGAATGTATCGTATATTTATTAGCCATTCTTATTTTATTAATTTTCACATACTTTGGTTTTAGTGATACCAATATTAGTTTCAAAATATATGTTAGCATCTTGTCTGTGGTCATTACTGTGTTCAGACACAGCAGTCTTCCCGGGAGGCACATGGACTTTTATTATCTATAGTAGTTAGTGTAAAGTAGCCCCAGACTAGTGCTTCTTGAATCTTTTTTTCTTTTGGCTCCATTTCTGTTGAGTAATCTTTCCATATTGTTCAGCAAACTCATATTTTGTCGCTAACTAAATCTACTTCGTCTTATTTGTATTTGTTTTCCACCTCGAGTAGATCTAAAACCAGACAAATAGGAAAACAAGTTAGTTTGGATTGCCTCTGAACTGGGCCTAAAGGAATTTAAAATCTGCATACCCTCTGAACCAGCAGTGCAACTAGAATTGGGAAATAGGCACAAAATGTTGAAGCTTTGCTAGACAGTTAGATGCACACTGGCTGGGAACGGTCTAACTGCGATAGAGTACCCGAAGGCAGTGTACAAGGAGCCAAGAACAGCAAAGCCAACTTAGAAATCAGCAACTTAGCAGCTCCTGACCTTGAACAAGTTCTCTAACCTCTACACCTCAGTTTTGTCCTCCAAAACAGAAATGGAATTGTCAGGAACACTAAATGAGTTACTGCCACATAGTATCCATAAACCAGAAAGGAACCATGAGGTATAAAATACAAAGACTAGAAAATGGAGAGTGGAGAGACTTGGCTAAGTGGCTGGTTCTATTAAATGTGTTATTTAGGGGAACATTTTCAGTATTAGAAACTTCATAAGGAACTGTCAGTTTGGGGCTAGAGAGAGGGCTCAGTGGTTAAAAACACTGGTTCTTGCAGAAGACCCGGGTTCAAATCCCAGCACCCACATAGCAGTTAACAAGGGTCTGTAATGCCCAGGGGATCCAGCAGCCTCTTCTGACCTCCGTGGGCATTGCACAACATGGGTACACTACCTACATGCAGGCAATACACACATACACATAAAATTAAATTAAATTAAAATAAAATACTGTCAGTTTTAACTTGACTCAGTTTGAATAATTATAGTTCATCATTCTAGGAACAAATTTTCAAAATTCTGACATTCTTAGTGAAAGGTTTATTTAACAGATCTTTTAAATGAGTAAATTTCTGCCTAAAGGGCCATGCTTTTGCATACCGTGTTATATGTTTGCCCTGTAGCAGAATGCTGTCTGCCCAGACACGCTGGAGAAGTAATTCATGCCTTTAGTGAATACATACCAATACCCTTTCACAGAGGCGTCACAATTTTAAGATTGAGCATTCCTCCTCTAGTGGTGGTGCCCCAGGACCATTCTGGAAGGGAGAGTTCAAATTCCTTTGTGTTTCAGATCCTACAGGTTGTTTTAGTGCTGACACAGAACACACAGGAACATCAAGTTAGAAATCCCTGGCTAGCCAGAGAGCGCCTTATTTTTAGTAAAAATCCCTGTTAGCTGGGCGTGGTGGCGCACGCCTGTAGTCCCAGCACTTGGGAGGCAGAGGCAGGCGGATCTCTGAGTTCAAGGCCAGCCTGATCTCCATAGTGAGTTCCAGGACAGCTGGGGCTACAGGGAGACCCTGCTTCAAAAAGACAAAAAAAAAAAAAAAAAAATCCCCCTGTTTTGACTTTGCCTCTTTACCACCACTTTTCACAGGTTGTTTTTCCTGTGCTTACAGGAGTGGTTAGAAAGGAGGATGGGTTCCTAAGCATATTCTTAAGTTAGAAAATTGGGGGTGGGGAGGACCACTGTTTTCTTTCCATCATTAACAATGTTAGAGTAATTACACTTTTTTTAAAAAAAAAAGTATGACTATGGGCTAGAGAGATGGCTCAACAGTTAAGAGCTCTTGCGGAGGACTGGGGTTCGATTCCCAGCACCCACATGACAGCTAACAACCACCTTTAACTCCAGTTCCAGGGGATGCTTTCTTCTGACCTCCATGGGCATTGCATGATGCAGGATATACTCATACACATAAAAATAAAATAATAAATTTATGAGTGTACCAAGCATGGTGGCACATGCTTTAATCCCAGCACTCAGGAGGCAGAGGCAGACCAATCTCTGTGAGTTCACAGCCAGCCTAGTTTATATAGCAAGCTCCAGGCCAGCCAGGGCTACATAGTAAGATCTGTCTCCCAAAAAAAAAAGACTCCAGCCAGAGGTCCAGGCAGGAGGATTGCCACAAGCCTGAGGTCAGTCTGGACTGTGGTGTGAGACCTTGTATTAACAAACTAGATAGGATAAAATATAACTTAACAGAGGTCAGACTTGGAGAGATGCTTTTCTTGGTGTCTTCCATCCTAATTTTGTAATTTAAGCAAAGGAGCATGCAGTGTCCGATGGCGTGTTTTATTTGTATAGCCTCTGTGATAGGCCTAGTCCTATCACACTGAGGAACTAAAGGTACATGAGGTGATGTCTCTGACTTCAGGTGTTAGTTGTGTGCAAACAGAATGACTAGATGCTTAACTACGACATAACTTGGTTTGGAATTGCAGAAAATACTCATTTTACTTGGATTGTAGCTTCAAAACGTTCGTGCTTATCCCCTTTGACATACGCACTTTGTTTGTGATCCAGTTAGGACAGACCTGTTTCCTGTTTCCTTTTCCTTCTCTTGTCCTCTGTGTTGCCCTTCCTTTCCCTTCTGATCCCTTTCTTTCCTTCCCTGTAGGCACCGATGTTCTTTACATTGGCCCTCTGAAAGGTGAGCCTTGCCTCGGTCACAGTGCTGGTCTGTCTGCTGCTGCTTTAGCTGTGTCCTTCCTTCACTTCCCTCAAACAGACCTCCTCAGGCTTTCTGCCAACTTTATTCTTATGGCTTTGTCAGTATATGTTCTAATGCTATACACGTGCAGTTCCTTTCACAAGTTTTGAGGCAGGTAAATAATGTACTAAGCTTTCCTTCCAGATTGAAGCTTGTGATTCAGTGTGCGCCCCGTGGTAGTGTGTGGTGTTGCTGAGAACTGAGATTTTGAACTCAGACTTACTGCCTCTTTTTCATGTTACTTATTAGGAAGTATATACTCCAGCCCAGGACTTTATAGTAAAACAATGACCCCTACTTATGACGCCCATGATGGAAGCCCCTTGTCACCAACTTCTGCTTGGTTTGGTGACAGTGCCCTGTCAGAAGGCAATCCTGGTATACTTGCTGTCAGTCAACCAGTAACATCACCAGAAATCTTGGCAAAAATGTTCAAGCCTCAAGCTCTTCTTGATAAAGCAAAAACCAACCAAGGGTAAGTGAAGAAACAGGCAGAGGGGAAGAATCTCTCTGGCTAGAGGTGGAGTGTTGAATTCTGTCTCTTTGTTACCACGCTCTTTCCAATTGTTCAGGTGGCTCGACTCCTCCAGGTCTCTAATGGAGCAAGACGTGAAGGAGAGTGAGGCCTTGCTGCTCCGATTCAAGTATTACAGCTTTTTTGACTTGAATCCAAAGGTACCAAGGGCTTAAAGGGACCCTCTTCTCCCTTCCCCTCCCCTCCTCTCCTCCTTTTCTCATTTGAGTATTTGGTGTTTGGAAATTGATAGGGTAAGAAATTGAAGCAAATCTTGAATAATATCTCAAACCCAAATTTTTAGGCAAGGGCATTTGTAATTTGAAGGCATCAGTTATTTTCGTAGGTTGGAAATCTGCTTTTTTTTTTTCCCCTCCAAGAACAGTTGCACAAAGGTTTGGATTCTTTATTTCTCAAACACCCGGGGAAAGAACCTCCCCGACTGCCCTGTCCCCCTCTTGTCTACTTACAGTCTAGTGTCGTTCATAACATGCTTACGTAATTCCTCACATAACATACAGTATATAACTATATAATATATAATAGAAGTACTACATCTGTTTTGAGCCACACTGTATCTACTTTCAGTAAAAGCAAATCTATTTAGGAATAGATTGGGGGTAAGAATGTTCTGTTAACATTTTAGGAGAACATTGTTTAGAAGTATAGCTATTACTTTTTACTAATATAATTAAATGGGTAGTCTAATAACATATAGGTAAAACATATTTTTCCAAAAGTGTGTATGTACCATCTGTTTTGGACACCTAAAATAGCTGCTCTTTCCAAGAACCCTTCTGGCTGTTTCTTCATGGTGAGCAATATATTTCCCCAAACCTTTACTTTGCTCACAATTGTGTTTTATTGTGCAAGGTAGAATAACAGTATTGAAAAGCTGTTTCTATTTCTACTTCAGTTTAATTCCTTTAAACCAGATTCCTCTCTTTTTCCTTCCTTCCTGAACCTTGTTTGTTTGCTCCTTGAGATAGAATCCAGTCATTCAGCTTAGGCAACTCTGTGTGTAACTCAGCCTGGCCTCAACTTGCAATCTTTCAGCTTCCTAAATGCTGGAATTACATGTGCTACCATATCCAGTTTTCTCTTTTCTTAGAGTCACAGTCTTGACTATGTAGCCTAAGCTGGCCTAGAAATAATGATTCCCCCTGCCTCGGCCATCCAGGAACAACAGGCATGAACCACCACACCAGCTTTAAGTTAGATTTTTTTTTACTGTAGCATTTAGTGGTTGTTTCCCTGGAAAATAACATAAAGCTCCCCCCACCCCACCCCTTTCCATCCTAGGAATTGAATCCAGAGCCCGTCTCATGCTAGGCTAGCACTCTCCCACAAAGCTACATCCATAGCTCCAGAATCTATTTTGAATACCTGAATAATTGTCTTTTCATATTCTGATATCATTTTAATGGAATATTAGATGTATGTATAGGCATATATAACCTTATAAATATCTTCCTTTCTTAGGATTGAGGATTTTGATCGTGAATAAAAGGCCAGGAAAATAATGACATTTTCTTTTTCTTATGACATTTTAAGAATGAATATTTAGCCAGGTGTGGTGGAACATGCCTTTGATCCCAGCACTGGGAAGTAGAGGCAAGTGGATCTCTATGAGTTCGAGGCCAACCTAGTCTAAATAGTAAATTCCAGGCCAGCCATGGCTATGCAGTGAGACCCTGTCTTTTTAAAAAGACAAAAGAATAATTATTTATTTTTATTATTTTTTAGAATTTATGTATGGGGGCTGGTAAGTGAGGTGCCCATGGAGCATGGGAGCTCCTTGGAGCTGGAATTATAGGAAGTTGTGAGTCATTGACATGGGTGCTGGGAACCAAATTTGGTTCCTCTGCAAGAGCAGTATATAACTGCTTAACTGCTGAGGCATCTCTTCAGCCTCAAACATGAATGTTGAAAGTTGAAAACTTTTTAGTTTTAAAAATAATACAGCACAGAAAAATATTCCTTTTTTCTTTGCAGTACGATGCAGTCAGAATCAATCAGCTTTACGAGCAGGCCAAATGGGCTGTTCTCCTAGAAGAAATCGAATGCACCGAAGAAGAAACAATGATGTTTGCAGCCTTGCAGGTAATGAACGATCACTAAATGGCTCTTACTGGGGGAAAGGAAGGCAGGAAAGTTGTATATTCCAACTTCCTAAATGCTGGAATTACATGTGCTATCAAACGTATTCCAGACGTTTGCTAGTGTTATTTTCTTGCTGTGGAGAAAAAGAACACTTAGGATTGGCAAGATGCACAGCAGATAAAGATGCTTATACCAAGCCCATGGGGCTGGAGAGATAGCTCAGCAGTTAAGCGCACTGACTGCTCTTGTATAGGACCCGAGTTCGATTTCCAGTACTCACATGGCAGCTAACAACCATCCCTAACTCCAGTTCAGGGGATATGACACCATCTTCTGACCTCTGTGGGCACTACATGACACAGGTACACCTACCTACATGCAGGCAATACACTCATACACATAAAATTAAAATGGTAAAGATTTTTTAAAAGATGCTTGCTGCCAAGCGCAACAATCTGAGTGTTATTTCCAGGACCCATGCAGTATAAGGAAAGAACCAACTCCCAGAAGTTGTCTTCTGTAGCCTGGTGGCACACACCTTTAATACTAGCAGAGGCAAGAACTCTGTGAGTTTGAGGCCACTCTGGTCTACATAGTGAGCTCCTTACCTGCATACTATTATAAGTTTGTGATAAGGCACATTGCAAGGTACACTGTTGGCTGTGGCAGAAATAATGCCTTTTTAAGTAATAATATTTTAAGAGACTTAAGCATAAATATGTTTCTAAAATATTGACTATTAAGAAATAGAGAGCTGGGGCTGGAGAGATAGCTAAATGTTTAAGAGCATTGGCTGTTCTTACAGAAGACCTGGGTTCAAATCCCAGAACCCACATGGCAGCTAACAACTGTCTGTAACTTCATGGCATTGCATGACACAGGTGCACTTAAGATACATGCAGACATACACTCATACACATAAAATAAAAATAGATAGATAAATAAATAAAAAAATTTTAAAGTAGAGAGCTAATGTTTCCTTAAACAAACATTTTTCTAAATGTGAGTTTTGGATACCGTATGCTTCAGAATTCTAGTGGTACCTACTGAAAAATTAAGTATCCACTTCCATTACTGATACATTCTCGAGTAAAATAGCTTTAGTTTCACCTAAGGTCCCCACACAGTTGCTGCTCTTTAAATAGAACTGTAAGAAGCAAGGCTGGCACTCAGTGAAGAAGCCCTTGCACTGTAAAGGGCACAGAAATGCTATCAGCCTTCCAAGTACACTAATGCACCCAGGAAGTTGAACACCCAAAGCTACCATTTGAAAGCAAGAGCAGCTCGTTTCTCCTTGGGTTGCAAGCCTAATGCAGGAGTCAAAAAGAAGCAGAGACAAGGGGAATTCTGACAGATGGAGTCATCCGTTATTTCTAGAGACTTAATTAAGCAACAGGTTAAGAATCTTAGACTGTCTCTGGGTGATTCAGACTGTCTGAAGAATTTCCTGAATTAAATCTTGGAGAAGTTTATTGGGAGTCCATCACTTGATCATGGTCGTTAAATATATCTTTCTCACTTTGAGTACAGACTCAGTTTTCTGATAGAAGTTTTGCCAATAACAGAATAAAACATGTAAAAGACACAGTAAACAGCATAGACTTCATCGTATGCTCTTTTGTCATTTTGTTTCTGTGTTTACTGGGGATTGAAACCAGGGTCTTGTGCATGCTATGCGAGCACTCTACCACTGAGCTATATCCCAAGCAACACTGTAGATTTTAATTTATGGTAATTGAATAGCCTAAAGCATAACCCTCCTGGACCATTTTAGAATCTAGAAATAATGAGGGAATTTTGGAGTACAAATCTCCATCATTAGTCTTCTTGGAGACGGACACGGACACAGACTGTAGGGTGTCATCTACTGTCAGGAGGAGATTTGGAAAGTATGGTGAGAAGGAAGATGGGTTTGGGGTGACTGGATCTTTTTGTCCCTTTTCCCAATGAGAGACAGAGACAGAGATGGATTGATTGTGCTTTCAAGTATTCTGTCATTCTGCCTCCTTGGGGCATCCAGATCTTTATGTAAAATAAATTTACTATAGCAAGAAGAAATTTATTCAAAAATAAACCATGGATTTAAAAAAATGTAAAGTTAATATTATTTTTAAAATACTTTGTTATATCATTTAATGGATACCTCATATACCTTTGAAAGCAAAGTTAGATTTTATGACAAGCCCCATTAGCCAGGGCTCCTCCAGTGTGACTTATGAAGACCTTTTAAATAGGAATCATCCAAGGTGCTTAGTGAAAATGCAGATTCCAGGCTGACCACAAATTTGCTGCATCATAATTTGCGTGATGTGGAGGAATGGGGATCAGACTCTTTAGCCAGCTTTCCACACGATTTTTAATATACTTTGAGACCATGGCTGATGATCTCAACCTGCCTTGTTATTCATTGTTTATGACCATGGAAGTTTCTATCACTGTAAGGGATCTCATATCAGCACAACTAAATTTTCAACCAGGAACTGTTTACTAAATCTTAAAACACAGGAACATGGGTAATTGACCTTTAATTCATTCACTGAGTGTTCACACAAATAGACTTTATTAAGCGCCAGGCGTGGTGGCAAACACCTTTAATCCCAGCACTCGAGAGGCAGAGGCAGGCAGATCTCTGTGAGTTCAAGGCCATGCTGGTCTACATAGTGAGTTCCAGGACAGCTGGGGCTAAAGGGAGACCCTGTCTCAAAAAAGACAAAAAAAAAAAAAAAAAAAAAAAAAAAAAAAAAAACGACTTTATTAAGCAAATGAATATGTCAGAAATTTAAGGTGCTATTCAGTGCTTTAAAAGTAGCTAATGAAGCCAGGCATGGTGGCACACACCTTTAATCCCAGCACTTGGAAGACAAAGGCAGACAGATATCTGTGAGTTCGAGACCATCCCAGTCTACATAGCAAGTTTCAGGTTAACTGGGGCTACAGAGAGACCCTGTCTCAAAAAGACCAAAAAAAAAAAATAGCTAATGGTAGTTATACCAGATTTCATTGATCTCTGTATAAAATCTCTAAGGCTCACTAGATTTTTAGTATTATAATTCACTAAATAAATTTAAAGTCAATTATTTTAGAATTTTCTGTCTACATATAGGAACAGTAAGACTACTTACTTGCACATATGCTTTCTCTGGATAATTTATCCCATGCGTATTTATGAAGATGTTTGTGTCTGTTCATACGTATAAACATGATTTTCCATCATTCTTAGATAACTGAGACTACAAGGCATGGAATTCAGAATGGGAGTGGAGCTCAAGTCCACGTTCCCCTAAGGCTCTAGTGGTGATACCTTTCTCCTGAGTAATGGGACTATGAGTGTTAATTACCTCTAGCAATGTGAGCCAGTCCGTGTTGCTTCATCTCTACAGAAGACTTCCTGCATATTCTGCACATTATTGAGTATTCATCTTTGCGAGGCCCTGTTCTAGGCATAGGGAATAATGCACTGAAAATCAACAAACAGCAACAAAAACAATCAAAAATCCCTGCTCACACAAATTCATTGGAGGACTTCTTAATTCTCTTCAGTCTTAGTGTCCCAGAAACTATTAATTCATTTGTATTTATGGAAAGACTGCACTTACTTTGGATAGATCTTAGTCAACAGGCTTATAGGAGCCAGGGTACCACAACTTTTGCTTTGCTACAGGTCCAGTTCCAAGACACTTTCATCTTTTCAAATCGGATGGTAAAGATCATCCAGTATAGAGTCAGATCGTAATTTCATTTTGAAGTTCTACAGTTATAGCAATCATTTCAGTAAAATGCTGTTTCTGGTTTCAGTATCACATCAACAAGCTGTCAATCATGACATCAGAAAACCATTTGAACAACAGTGACAAAGAAGTGGATGAGGTTGATGCTGCCCTTTCTGACCTGGAGATTACTTTGGAAGGCGGGAAAACTTCAACAATTCTGGTAGGGGGAATCTTTACCTAAGAATTGAGTTGTATTTGATGCCTTCCTTTTGTGGATTTCCGTTCGCAGAAAAAGTATTTGGAAAGTAGAGAAAATACTTCATTTTTTATAGAAATCAGGCAGATTTTTTTTTTTTTTTCAGGAAACTCCAGGGAAGTTTTTTTGTGGTGAGGGATCAAACCCAGGGTCTCACTAGCATGTAGCTCTACCACTGAGCTACATCCCCAGCCCAATGAACTTTCTCTGAAGTAATAATGTTATATGATCTTCAGGGCTTCCAACACACTGAAAGTCTCTCTGCAATACTCTACACATTCTTTTACAAGTGGTAGGAAAACTTTTCTGCAGAGGGAAACTTAATCTCAAGTCATGATGAATCCATTTAGTAGCCTAAATGGAAGTGGAAATAGGGCACACTATAACTTTAAAATACTGGGAATTGTTTGTTGTGTGTATGGAAGCCAGAAGGTGTCAGATCTCCTGAAACTAAAGTTACAGGTGGTTGTGAGCCATATACATGGGTGCTGGGAATCAGACTTAGGTCCTCTGGAAGAGCAGCAAGTGTTCTTAACTGCTGATCCATCTTTCTAGCCTAATCTAAATGCTGTTTGTTATTTTGTTTGGTTTGGTTTTTTGAGACAGGGTCTCACTATGTAGCCCTAGCTGGCCTTGAACTATATAGACCAAACTCACAGAGGTCCACCAGCCTCTACTTCCCTAGTGCTGGGATTAAAGGCCTATGCCACCATACCCAGCAATACTGTTTATGTTTTTTTAATGCTTTATTTTTATCTTATTTGTATGAGTGTATTGCCTGCATGTGTGTAAAATGCACCCGTGTTGTGCAATGCCCGCAAAGGTCAGAAGAGGGTGTTGATCTCCCTGAAACTGGAGTTATGGACAGTTATTAGCTACTGTGTAGGTGCCAGGAACCAAATCTATTCAGTTAAGAGCCGTTGGGTTAAGAGCCAGTGCTCTTAACTGCTGTGCATCTCTCCAGTCCAATACTGTTTATTTTTAAAACTAAGGAATTAGTTACTGTGGAGGAAACATTTTTCTCAGGGCCATGTTGTTTAACAATATTTCCATATTGTACTACAGTTGTAGTTATATTTGGAAGTAACTATTCTTAAAGATTATACAAATTGTCATTTTGTTCAAATTTTTATTAACTTTCTATGATATTTGCAAATGCCTTTATAACATGACCACATATGATTGTGCCTTTTAAGTCTTTAGAATCAAGCTGGGCCTTGGGCATGGTGGCGCAGCCTTTAATTATAGCACCATGGAGGCAGAGGCAGGCCCATCTCCACATAGCAAGTTCCAGACCAACTGGCACTACAGAGAGACCCTGTCTCATGCAAAAAGCCAAAAATAAAAATAAATAAATCTTTAGGATCTGTATTTGAGCATTAAGCAAGCAGTTTTTAGCATCAGGCACCAAACTAGAATCTCAAATGTAAAAATAAATGAGAAAAATATTATTTTAAAATTTTCCCTAGGGTGACATTACCTCCATTCCGGAACTTGCCGACTATATTAAAGTTTTCAAGTAAGTACAGAGTGTGTGTTGGGGGGGAGGGGGTCCAAATATCAGTGAATAAAACTGTTAGTTTTATAATCATGTTAATGTTATTTAAATTTATAGTAAATTTGATCATCATATTTATCTTTAAGACCACAGTAATCATTGTTGTATTTGATAAGCCTTTTTATGTGTATGAGTGTTTTGCCTACCAGTATGTACGTTAGCGCATGCATATGTGCATGAGGCCAGAAGAGGGTATTGGATCCCTAGAACTGGAGTTACAGGCAGTTGCTAGCCAGCATGTGAGTGCTGGGAACTGAACCCAGGTCCTCTGCAAGAGCAACCAGTGCTCTTGACCACTAAACCATCTCTCCAGCCCCCATAAACAATTTTTCTAAATTTGTGAAGGCTGATTGTGTGTTGGTGCCGAAACTTAGTAACAGTGGCCTAGCACTACCGGACTCAATTGAAAGCAGTACATGGCACACTGCGAGGGCTGGCAGTTATGTCCTTGCCCCAGATTTCATTGAATTATGCTCATTTGCTCATGGACAATTTCCTACTGTGTACAATATAAAAAATATTCTAGAAGAAACCATTTACTGGATCTGAAGAGGCAGAGGCTCACAGCATGTAACACTGCCATGATCTCTACCCTCTCTTCCTCCTCCCTTTCCACACTTTGCACCTACAGTGTCTTCCCATTGGAATTAGGTCTTCTTTTGCTTGCAGTCATGCTGAGTTAACATATTACAGAGGTTCCAGGAGCAGTAATGCTCAGACACCCCTGCACTTGCAGGCCATTGGTAGCCCAGAAATCTTCCAAATATGGGCGTGTACCTTTTCCCAGCCTTTTTGTATGGGTGGCTTAAGTGAGAAGTTCTGAACCACTACCCCCCCCCACACACACACAGTTTGTGGGAATCTTACTGAATTAAGATAGGAGGGCACATCCATACCAGCAACTGAACCAGAAGATACTGGCTAAAGAGAACTGATTTCAGCTGTGTAAAATTGACTTCATGGGTTTTTTTGTTTTTTTTTTTTTTTGACAGAGTCTCTCTGTAGCCCCAGCTGTCCTTGAACTATGTAGACCAGGTTCGCCTTGAACTCATAGAGATCCGCCTGCCTCTGCCTCCTGAGTGCTGGGATTAAAGGTGTGTGCCACCACACCCGGCCAACTTCATGTTTTTAAATACAGAATCTAAACTACTAAAACATTAACAAAGTTACTTCAGAGTGGTTTTTGTTTCAATGCTATTTGATTCATAGGCCCAAAAAGCTGACTTTAAAAGGCTACAAGCAATATTGGTGCACTTTCAAAGATACATCTATTTCTTGCTATAAGAGCAGAGAAGAATCAAGTGGCACTCCTGCTCATCAGATGAACCTACGAGGTAAGGAAAGCCTTGGTGACCTTCAGAATTAGTCCAGTACTCAGTAAACTTCACTTGGGGCAGGCCCAGAAGTGAAAAAGGGGCGTGGTACTTTCTTTAGTCCTCTTTTGGTACTTTAATGTTTTAGTTCTTTTCCAGTGTGTATGTGTGTGCACTTCCATGTGGATATTTTGTTGTGATCGCCAGGGAGACCCTAGCTGAAGTACTAGTCAAGTGAATTTGTCTTTTCTGATCTTCACTATTAAGTCCATTTAGGGATTCCTCATCTGCAGGATCTGCCTCCTGCCTCCCCACAGCTTCAGCCTTGTTACAGTCATCTCCCTTCATCAATGGTACCCTGCTCCTCTTCACCTCACTGATAACTTCGCAGGGTCTTAGTCTTAGCCTCTTGGTTTCCCTGGCACACCTCTGCACCTTTAGGGGTGTGGTCACATTCTCTGTCTTCTCCACCCAGTTTTCTCCTCCTTTGCCCTCCCCTAGCTCTTTAGGCAAGCCTAGATGTTCCTCTTAGACTTCTAGCTGCCAACGTGAGTTTCCTTTTGTATTGTCAAATCCAAAGCTGTCAGAGAAGTAGGGGCTTGTACTTTGGGCATCTGCTTCCTTACCGTAGCACTTTGAAGGTATGTTCCCCTGAAGCCTGGGCCAAGCCTACATGAGGGCTCAGCTGTTAGCTATTAGCACTACCATTAACCAGAGCCTGGACTGCTGAGCTATATATATAAACAGGGTCTCACTATGTAGCCCAGGCTGGCCTCAAATTCAGAGATGGCCCTATCTATGCCTTCTGAGTGCTGCAGTTAAAGGCAAGTACAACCATACCCAGATTTGATCCACTTCTTTTATCACTTAGAAGTTGGGGGGGAGGTTGTTTTGTTTTTGAGGCAGGGTTTTCTGTAGCCAAGGCTGGACTTGAACTCCTGCTCCTCCCACCTTTATCTTCCAGATGCTAGGATTATATGCAGGTACCATCATTCCTGACTCTGGTCAATACTTTTAATTTTTCTTAGTGCATTATACACTGTATGTTTTTAGTATATTTTAACAAAATGTCCAAATCTATACCTGGGATGTGTGAACTCTGCCTAGGAGTGATCTAACTTGTTGCTTCACATTTAGACACATTTTTTAAAACTTTTTTTATGTGTACGCTTGTATTGCCTGCATGTAGGTAAGTGCACCCATGTCATGTAATGCCCGAGGAGGACAGAAGAGGCTGTCAGATCCCCTGGGACTGGAGTTACAGACAGTTGTTAGCTGCCATGTGGGTGCTAGGATTCAAACCCAGGTCTTCTGCAAGAACAACCAGTGTTCTTAACCGCTGAGCCATCTCTCCAGCCCCCTTAGACACATTTTTAAGGACTAGAAAACCTCAGGCCTGGGTAGAGGATGGCTGTTCCTCTGAATTAGAATTCTGTAACTTAGGGGCTTTTTGTTTGTTTTTGTCTTTTTGAGACAGGGTCTCTCTGTAGCCCCAGCTGACCTGGAACTCACTATGTAGACCAGGCTGGCCCTGAACTCACAAATATCCGCCTGCCTTTTCCTCCAGGCTGCTGGGATCAAAGGTGCGTCACCGCCTGTCTTTTTTTTTTTTTTTTTTTTAAGCCTGTCAATCACTTGAGCTTTGTGCTTAGGGCTCCATCTTCATTTGTTACTCCCAGGGTCCACTGGGGCTTCCTTCTTGCATCGTTCAGCTGTTAGGACCAGCTCAGTGTCCATTCTGACTTCAAGACTGGATATGTGTTCTGGCCCCATCCTCACTTTCCCTGTGACATGATTAACCCTCTTCCCCACGAGACTGAAAAGCCAAGTGTGGGAAGTAATTGACTTGCCAGCTGTAGTCAGTTCTCAGGCTACCTCTTGCACATTCTCTCAAAGGAGCACTTTTCCTGCTCATCACATGGTGACACTAATCTAGGAATAAAATGGCTGGTGCTCTGCTCTGTACCAAATAAGCCCTAGAGTTTTGGAGGGAGAGCCTAGATGGGTTCAATATCCGATTCTGAAAAACTAGAGTGTCGTATGTTGTTACAGTTCGTTAGAGATCTAAAATTCAAAGTTTGGAAAACTCAGTTTATATAAGAGTGAGTGAACTCATACTCTGTAGCTGTGTAGGTTCTGGAGATAGGAGGAAGAACAGATTACAGTCCCAGCTGTTAAAAATGGGGACTGCGGATGGAGCTCAGTAGTAGACGTTTGCCTAGTGTGTGTGAGACCCTAGGTTCAATTCCCAGTATCATCTGAAAATAAATGACAATTTGGATAGTAAATACTTTTAAAAGTATAAAGAGTCAAAGGAACAGGATGGTCAGAGTGCTGTACTGATCTGCAGTGAGATTATAGAGTTCGTGGTGGAAATGAGTTCTGACTCAAGATCCAAAAAGAAGAACCAAGTGGAGTTCACTTGTACAGTGCTTGCCTAGAATGTGCAAGGCCCTGGTTCCATTTCCATCCCTAGTGTCACCACCAAAAATACACAGAAGTAAAATGAATCTGAAGAGGTGTAGAAGGCAGACAAGAGACAAAGGCCTTCTGTGCAGACAAACTTGTGAAACTGCAACCGGGTAGAAAGACTGATACTGAGATTGGAATGTAAAAGAATAGGTTTGGGGAGAGAACAGTTTAAATTTGAGGTGCCTTTGGGGCATCTACTTAGAGACTGGGTCAGGGGAGATCCATGTAGCAGATACTGATGTAACAGTTAGCATTAGTGGTAAATGCAGCTGTTGTGGGATTATCTCTAATATAAGACTAAAAGCAAAGTCTTACCTAGCAGCCCTAAGGGACAAGGGCGGTCAGAGGAAGAGGAGCCGTTGATAACACATACACACAAGTGCATAGGGAGAACATAGAAATGAGGTACAATGGAAGCTAGGCTGTCTCAGAACTGATTATGTTGGCCCTGTAATCCAGGACTTAGGAGGGTAAAACAGGAGGCTGTGAGTTTGAGGCCAGGCTGGACCACATAGTAAGCCCAAGGACAGCCTGAATTATAAAGCTCTGTCAAAAATAAATAAATAAGTCGTTGTGCAAAGGGCAGAATAGTCAATAGTGTCAAACGTAGCTGAAAGGTAAGACAGTTGAGCCTCCATGATATTTAGCCACCCGAAGGTGGTTATCAACTTTAATTAGGTAGATTTCAGTGGCTTTTCACATAGGGGCCAAAGCACACTCCTTGAAAAATAAAGGGCCAGTGAAGTAAAGGCACTTAGCATACAAGCTGGTGATGTAGTAGGTCTCTGGAACCCATGTAAAGGAAGGAGACCGGTTAAGAGCACCGATTCCACAAAGTTGCCCCCTGACCTCCACACACAGGCACATACATAAACACACAAATTTCTTTTTTTTTTAATTGATACAGGGTCTCCCTGTAGCCCCAGCTGGTCTAGAACTCTATGTAGACCACGTTGGTCTCTATCTCACAGAAATCTGCCTGCTTCTGCCTCCTGATTGCTGGGATTAAAGGTGTGTACCACCATGCCTGGCCAAATAATTTTTTTTTAAAACAAACATCTTAATGAACCAGATTTTATGTGTGACCAGGAAGGGGGAGAGAAGTCAAGCAATAGGAGAGAGGTTTGCAGTCGTAAAGAATGGTATTCATTGGTATAAAACTGACAAGATTTGGGACTAGAAAGTTGGCTCAGTGGTTAAAATCATGTACTGCTCTTACAGAGAACCCAAGTTTGTTTTCCAGCAACCCCGTCAGGTTGCTCATAGCTGCCTAGAACTCCAGTTCTTCTGACCTCCATGAACATTTGTAGTCCTGTGCACATACCCACACACACAAATACAAATAATTAGAAATAAATCTTTAAAAAAAGGTTGAGATTTGAAATTAAATGCTGATAGACAAGTGGCACACTAGAAAAGGAAATCTCAGTCCAGGAGAAACGGGCTTCTCTGTGATGGAGGGTTCCCGCGGTGGTGAGTAAACTCAGCCCACTCTATAGGAAAGGTTGGAAGCAGAGATTTCTCTTGCACTGTGTGATCTAAGGACAGTTTACCTTGTATGTTGGCAAGAAGCTGAGGGATGGCACTGTTGGTGGTTCTTCCTCCTCAGATTCATATGAGGTGCACTTGTTCCCTCAATGAGAGGCACCTAGCATGTCTGAGAATAGTTGAAATAGATACTTTTTTAATGTGTGTGCATGCACATGTAGAAGTTAAAGGATAACTTGTGGGAGTCGGTTCTCTTCCCTTTGACCATGTGGAAGGAGATTGCACTCATGTCTATAGGCATGGCAGCAAGTCCCTTTATCCCATGAGCCATCACACTGTCCCCAACTCTTTACATGGCTGACTTTGAACTCCTGTTGCTCCTGCCCCTACCTTCCAAGTGCTGGCATGCATCAACATACTGTGTTATGAAGGGCCACGCTGAGCTTGGGAATCCAAGAAAGTTAGTGAAGCTCTGTTTCTCATCTCTGTCTTTCCCATTGCCCAAGTAGAGGCCAGTAAGACATGGGTTGGACTGAATAGGGTTAAGGTTTTGCTTAGTGGACGTAATACAAAGACAGCGTTCTAGGGAGTTGAGTATGAAATATCTGATGAATAGAGTCCAGTTTGGCCTGGCGATGCGGGAGACATGAAAACATGGTTGCTGGTAGGTAGAAATTAGGAGTACGACAATAGAGTCTGAAAGAATTTGGAAAGTAGGATTGGAGGTTGTGGTCACAATGGGCTGTTTAAAATTGACCTTTCAGAGGGTAGGTACAGTCATCAGGCAGTGACCAGTCTGGCATGTTGTGTGGCAGTACGCAGCCAAGGTGACATGTGACACAAGCTGGCTGAGGTAGAGCCCTGGAAGGGCTCTGAGCCTGCATGAAAATCTGAGTTGCCACTCACTGTCTCCCTGTTGGGTTTTTGTTGTTTGTTGAAATTGTATAGCCCTGGAACTGACAGATGTCTTCCTCCGCGGGGCTGGGTTTACAGATGTGCACTGCCACACCTGGGAGTTCTTGATATTTTTAAGGGCTAATTATTTCTGGATTGTGGACTCTGTCACCTTGAGTGATTAGTTTTGTTTATGTAAAAGATTTGAGCATCTTCACATATCTTTAAGTTTGCTGGTTAAACAAATTGCCACACGGTTCTGTTTCTAAAGCTTCTGCAAAAGGACTTAAAAGGAGGCTGTTTATAACTAGTAAAAAAAATTTTTTTTTGAGATAGGGTCTACCTGTGTAGCCCCAGCTGTCCAGGAACTATGTAGACCAGGCTGGCCTTGAACTCACAGAGATCCGCTTGCCTCTGCCTCCCAAGTGCTGGGATTAAAGGCTTATGCCACCACACCCGGCTTAGTAGTAAATATTTTTAAGAGGAGAAAAATCTAGCACATTCATGCTAAGAGTTGCTTCTGGACAAAACAAAAAGAGCCTCCTCTTTAAAGTGCTCTTTTCTTTAATAATCTAAATGCTTATGTGGAGGCAGAAGATGACTACTATTTGGATTCTGATAACTCATAAAAGTATGTATTTCCAAGTCCTTGCCTATAAACTCTCATTTGAATACCAATTGTTTTCATGTCAACTTCCATTGTATAGAATAGAGTTGTTCCTAGAACATCATGGTAGAATTCCACATACTAAGACCCCACAAAATGAGGCTATTGTATTGGCTCGTGATTTCTTTATGCACTTTTATAATTAAATTTATTATTACAGGATGTGAAGTTACCCCAGATGTAAACATTTCAGGCCAAAAATTTAACATAAAACTCCTAATTCCGGTTGCAGAGGGCATGAATGAAATCTGGCTTCGTTGTGATAATGTAAGTGTTCCTATTAAAAGGAAACCTCATTTTTCTATAATTCCAGTGTGAGTTAGCCAGCTTCATTATATTTTATACTCAGGCCCTAGCAGCAGTTTCATACCTCAGTGTTTCTTTTCAACAGGAAAAACAGTATGCACACTGGATGGCAGCCTGCAGGTTAGCTTCCAAAGGCAAGACCATGGCGGACAGTTCTTACAATTTAGAAGTGCAGAATATTCTTTCCTTCCTAAAGATGCAGCATCTGAACCCAGATCCTCAGTTAATACCAGAGCAAATCACAACTGACATCAATCCTGAATGTTTGGTGTCCCCTCGCTACCTGAAAAAGTACAAGAACAAACAGGTATTTCATTTTACTTAATCCGATTTCTGCCAGTTTTATACTTTTGTGCACATACTTAAATTTTGTTTCTCCTGTTAGAATGTAAAACAGGAAATAGGGAGGCCTGGGTCAATTTAAAATGGTCATTAAAAAAAATCTTAAACAACCCAGGGAAATCACTCTTAAAAGGATGTTGTTCAAATGCTTGAGAGACTTGAAGATGATCTTAAGTATGACATAAAGCTCATTCAGCATTCCCTGAAAGAATCTTTAAAACTTATTTTTGCTGAAGTGGGTTTTTCAGTATTTAGAAATAAACTGTTTTAATGGTAGAAATAGTCTCTACTCCTTCACTGTCTTGACACTTAACAGTCAGAACTTAGCCAAAATCTTGCACAGTTAGGATAAATTTCCATTTAAATTCACTGCTCCTGTCTATTCTCCTTAGAATTCCTTTCCTGGAAATTAATGCCATAAAAGGTTTGCTGTTTAGGAGAATGGCTGTTCAGTACATCACGCAAAGTCCTTCACCGGGGAATTTCATTGGGGAGCCCCCAGGATTCTCTTCGCTAAACAGCATGCCATAAAAGGAAAGGCTTTAGATGGGTGGGGGAGCAGAAAAGACCTTTACAATAAATATTTCACTTTTATTGAGTTTTTAAAATCTTAAAGGGATGATTTTAAAACATTAAAGTCCAAATTAAATATGAACTAAAGCCATTTAACTCCTTAACTTTATTTTTTAACTCCTTAACTTTAATTACGACTTTATGAACAGAGTCCGAAATGATTTCGCTTCCTACAGAAATGTTCAGAAGCTTGAGTCATAAACTACACGTCTTTAAGTTCCAGGGGCCGTGCCTGCTATACGGACATTGTTTATCTCAGCCATAGACTGTGGGTACGGGGTGAGGAAGTGCTGCCCTGGGAGCTCTGTGGAATGCAGATCAAGTTAAAAAGGGAAAGTAAAGGATTTAGTCTTAGTTATTTCATTGAAGAACTATTTTTTAGAAACTAGTTTCTATAAATGAACTAATTTACCTTCAAATGATTGAAAATCTTAAGCAATTTTATCACGTCAGTATCAGGAAATAAGTTATCTACCCCTGAGTTGTAAGCAAGATTATGACCTAAAAATTCTCAAGGACTAAGACAGTGTTCCAACTTCAGTGACAGGAGGGCAGTATGCAGTGTGAGGTTACCAATCTTTCTTGAACTTCTTACATTGGCATCTTATCAGATAAATGCACACTCACTTTAGCCCTTTCTCTAGGTAGACCCGGGTTCCCTAGAAGGTTGGAACTGGTGTTACCACCCTGTAAATAGTTATAGGCACAAGATTCGTTGCTACAGTGTGTCAGATGCTGTGTTCCCTGTGCAGGCAGACTGCAGGGTCTGATCCTTGCCAGGGGACAAATAGATGCTTTCCTTTTGGTACCGAGGGTCCGTCCTCATAGCTTCTTATACTCAATCTACTTCTGTTCTTCAAATTGCATACATTAGCTAAACTTTGCAGAACTATTCTAAGTAATTATGACTTGTAACTGAACTTTTTTAAAGAAAATAGTTGTTCTGTGAGTTTGTCTCTGTTAACCCAAACTGAAAAGGACTTAGTGTGTAGCCACAGTTCCTAGGTCACTGTATGGCAACCTTTTATTTTCCCTTCCAGGAAAAAGGATGCAAAAAACAGATGGTAATTGAGGGGCTGTGTTTTTGTGAAAACACAGGAGTGTGGGCAGTGCACTCATTTGAGCCTTCAGCTCCCCTCTGGAGAGCAGTGCATGTGGCCCATCGTTTCACTAAATCTGAGAGCGCTCTGAAGGCTTCTATCTCGCTACTAAAATAGTTTTACCCTAACCAGTAAGTAGTGATACGTGAAGGGAAAACGAGGTGTTTGCTCTTTTCTCATTTTCTTCTGTAAGCTTCTACCTTTGAGTAACATTTAACACTCCGAGAGTGACGTGCTGCCCAGCGTCCTGTGTGGACGGTGATCGCCGCTTCCTCGTTCTCATTTTCGTTCCCGCATTTACTTTGCTTGTTTCCACCCGAAGGGATTTTTGCATGGTTTTTGGCTGGACTTTGGTTTGTGGGTTACCACAGCTTTTTCTTTGCTTCGTTGCCGTTTTTCCTGATCTTTTTTTCTTTTTTCTTTCCGCTCCCTCTTTCTTTCCTCGCATTGCCATCTACAGCCAGGCTATGTAAGAGATTTGGTAAGTTCTCCGTGTTTACAAAGAGAAGAAAGTAAACATTGCAATACCGTAGTCACAGTGCTCCCCCTAACACACACACAGGAGTACTCATCCTAAAGTGAATATAGTTAAACCATTTAACCTACCTAAGAAGCATTTGAAATGGGGCTAAGGGTGGGGCTCAGGGGTATAGTCCTTTTCCTAAGCAAGCAGGTTTCTAAACTGGATCCTAGAATCATAAGGAAAATAAATATATATGGTGGTTTTTTTTTTTTTTTTTGGTCTTTTTGAGACAGGATCTCCCTGTAGCCCCAGCTGTCCTGGAACTCACTATGTAGACCAGGCTGGCCTTGAACTCACAGAGATCCGCCCGCCTCTGCCTCCCAAGTGCTGGGATTAAAGGCGTGTGCCACTTATATGTACATTTTTAATAAAAATTTTGCTCAAAATTATGATTTATGCTTTAAAGCTACCAATAAATAATTCCAGGAACTTGTATTTCAGGTAACTCATTCTAAACATATCTTGTCACATTTAAGCTGAGCAGCTCTGTGTCAATCAGAATATTATAATAGCTCACCAATGTGTGTACATTTGGAACATTTCTCAACTGTGGCAGTCATGAAACCCTAATGGTGCTTCTTATTTAATATGTGAAAACTAAAATTATTTTAATTGAAAATAAAGCAAAATACTTTATTACTTTGCTGAAATTCCCAAATGAAGCCTCAGATGTTTTCTAACTCTAGCTCCAAATAAGCTATTTTAATAGTCAAGGGGCACGTCAATCATTTAAAAATTTTTTTGTCTTGATTCCACCACAGAAGAATGTCTAATTTTAAAGATATTTGATCATGTTTAGATAACAGCGAGAATCTTGGAAGCCCATCAGAATGTAGCTCAAATGAGTCTAATTGAAGCCAAGATGAGATTCATTCAAGCTTGGCAGTCGCTACCTGAATTCGGCATCACACACTTCATCGCCAGGTCAGTGACCTTCGTGCCAGCCAGGATCTGCATGTTCACTGCATCTGCTATGTATGACTAGAAATTAAACATTGAAGGTAGAGCTACGTAGACACACTGACCCTATTCTACACTAAAATGTAAAGAAGGTTAATGTGTTTTCTAGGCTCATAATTTTCCCATCAGAAACTTATAATGGGGCTGGAGAGATGGCTCAGCAGTTAAGAGCACTGGCTGTTCTCACAGCCGGTTTGGTTTGGTTTGGCTGAGTTTGGTTCCCAGCATCCAATGTCGCTAACAGATATACTTAACTCTAGTTTCAGGGCATTCAATACCCTTTTCTGACATTGTATGGGTGTACTTTATATGCAGGCAAAACACTCATACACAAAAAATAAAAATATTTTAAGAACTCAGAATGATTGCATTTCTATTTTTACTCAGAATACTACTTTAAGGGTTAGAGAGCACTTATTTTAATTTTAAAAACAGTACCCCCTACTCCATTTTGAGGGTTTTTTTCCCTCCCAATGTCACAGGTTTCAAGGAGGCAAAAAAGAAGAACTTATTGGAATTGCATACAACAGGTTGATTAGGATGGATGCCAACACGGGGGATGCCATTAAAACATGGCGATTCAGCAACATGAAGCAGTGGAATGTAAACTGGGAGATCAAAATGGTAAGCTGGGAACAGTGTTATCCTGAGGTGTTGGTTTCAGTAAAAATCGGGAAGCTCAAGATGAAAACCTGTGGGCTGAGGATGTAGCTCAGTGATAGAGCGCCTGCCTAACATGTGCACTTCCCTGGGTTTGGTCCCCAGCACTGCAAGAAAAATAATGGAAGGGCCTTAAAAATCCTGAAGATTGGATGTGAGGCAATCTGGCTATGGTATTTGATACCCCTTAGATGGCCAGGGTTGACTCAGCTAACCTGGCTGGCTGGTTCTGGTGTCTCTTTCCCCCTCATCCTTCTAGGGTGTCTCTTGGGAAGCAGCACACACAGTGAGAGGAACCAAGTTTAGAAGCCTATAGTCCATTCACCAGCCATGTCACAACACTTAAGAACAGACTCCGAATCCAAGCGGTTGTTTGGGGGCTCTAAAACCTGGTGCCTGTACTGCTGTGTCTCATGAAGCACCTCACCTTGATATGTCACAGTCATGTTACACAATCTTTTTACTAGTAAATCATTTGGTTCAGAGCCTGTTGGATATGTTGTATCAGTTCCTATCAGTAAAATTCATCTTTCTGAAATATTCAAACATGAAGCTTAAAGGTTAAATACTGAAGCAGATATTAAATAAAACACAGGAAGTCAGTTTTCTCCCAGGACTTGAAGAGAAACATTCCATTAAGTGAATCATCAGAGATCATTTGGGAATGTAATGACCTAAAATCCTTACATTTGGTTTTCTCCTCAGAACTTGAAAACTAAAGGAATGGGGGAAGGGATGACACACTTTTATTTTTTTAGACTTAAAGACATTGTTACATGCCGGGCGTGGTGGTGCACGCCTTTAATCCCAGCACTCGGGAGGCAGAGTTCGAGGCCAGCTAGGCTACAGGGAGACCCTGTCTCAAAAAGACCAAAAATAAAGACATTGTTACTTTTCCTGGAGTAATTATTGAAGGGCTGGCCTATGCTTTGTAGGCAGACCTTACCGTGGTAGCTCTGTAGGGCGCTTACAGCTCTTTGCCTTGTTCCAGGTCACTGTAGAATTTGCAGATGAAGTCCGGTTGTCGTTCATCTGTACCGAAGTCGACTGCAAAGTGGTCCATGAGTTCATCGGTGGCTACATATTTCTCTCAACCCGTGCGAAAGACCAAAATGAGAGTTTAGATGAGGAGATGTTCTACAAACTCACCAGTGGTTGGGTGTAAATAGAAATACTATGCAATGAAACTCCACAGCCATAACCATATTTAACTTTAAAGCTATTGTTTGTTTATATGCTGCTTAATAAAGTGAGCTTGAAATTTATCATTTTATCATGAAAAATTTTTGCCTTACCAGACCGGTTAATATGTGCACTAACAAGCACGACTATTAATCTATCATGATGCAATATGTGGACTGTTGCATATGGCACATTCCTTAGGGCCATGAATTTAAAGCTGATACAGCGGGTAAATCAGGAGCTGGCCATTGCTGATTGACACTAGCCAAACCAAGAAACAAGCCATCTACTCCAAAGTTACCTGAGCTTAATCTATATGAAGTCTATTTATCATGTTTAATGCATGTGTTTAATGTGTGTTTAATTTGATGTCCTGTTTTAAAATATCCTACTTCTGGTAGCCAATTCATCCTTCCCCCAATTCAAAATCAGGTTTGCAATAGATACCTGATATTTAATGATGTCAATGACCTTGAAGGAAAATGCTGTTAGTCTGTTATGCTTGGTCTATTTTTGTCCTTGAATAAGCATGTTGTATATTGTCTTGTGTTTCTATTTTTACACCATATTGTATTACACTCTTAGTATTCACCAGCATATTCACTATCTGCCTAAAATATGCAACTTTTGCATTACCGTATGAAGTAAAGGTCTATGAAGTATGCATTTTGTGTAACTAATGTACAAACACAAATTTTATAAAATTGTACAGTTTTTTTAAACTATTCACAACTAGAAAATGGCTTAAATGTAGCATCCTTGCATTAATTAAATGCTTTTAAAGGATATAATATGCAGTTTTTCAGTATCTGCTAAATTAAGAATGTCTTCATGATGGTCATGACTTACCATGATGTCCTTAACGCTCATGCCTGGACTGGCCTCATTCCGGTCCACTGCGCTGTTACAATCTGCATTGGTGCTAGTCAGAAAATTCCTAGCTCATGAGCCCAAAAGGGTGCCAGGGAGGGGCGGATCTACCAGTATTGTCCAATAATCCATGATTTAAAGACTATATAAATGCATTTTATTTTAAATAAAAGCAAACCTTTTATTTACTGTTGTCTCTCTTTGTGCTTCTTACCGGTGGTGTTTTCATGGCATTAACTCACCTTTGGAAGCACTGCCTCCATCTTGTGCTAGAATGCCTGGCTAGTGTTTGTTTCCAGCTGGAGAGCTCCAAGGTAGATTCTTCCTCTTACACTGAGAGCTCTTCATTATTCCTAGTATTAGAAATAAGCTGGGTGTGGTGGCACATACCTTTAATTACAGCACTCCAGAGACAGAGGCAGGTGAGTCTCTGAGTTCCCAGGCCAGCTGGGGCACAGGGAGACCCTGTCTCAAAAAGACCCCCCCCCACAAAAAAAAAGCAATAATTTATTCCTTGTTATTGTTTAGTCTGACAACTGTCACTTGGGGCCCTTCCTTTAGCCCTGTAGGTGATCAGGTCAGTTCCTGTTGATGTTCTCTCAGGTGGTTTTGTATCTTTCTCCTCATCGTGGTCACCATCACCTAGATCAGTTCCTTGTACTATGCCTGTGAGACTGTAACAGCCTCTTAAATCTTTCCTTTGTATGCCAAACCCCATTATCTTGGTAGGCCTTACTCCAGAAAGGCCTTACTCCCTTCCTGTGAAAGTTTTTTTTAATAGTAAAATTCATATACAGTCACTTGATAAAAGCCATAAAGCATATTTGTGATTATGTGGCACTGGAGTCCTCCTTTGCCCTGCTGTCTACACAACGCACACTGGGACTGACTGCTCTCCCTCATGATTTTAGAATGAGTCCTGCCCCAGCACTGCATTGTCTGCCTTCCCCACCCTCTTTGAATTTGACACAGCTGTAACGCCAGCTGGCCTGAAACTCACTATGTAGACCAGTTTAGCCTCTATCTCAGAGATCTGCCTGTCTCTGCCTCTGGAGTGCTGTGATTAAAGTTGTGCACCACCACACCCAGCTAGCACTGGCTGCTTTTTAACCCTAATGACCATGGCCTATGGAACAAGCCCTCACCTTTCCTCTCCAGGTGCTCTGAGGCCATGATCCCCCTTCCAGCCTTACCTCAGCAGTCTGCATCAAAAAGCACAGCTCCATTCTCCAGACACTCCACATCTCTGTGTTGGTCCCCAGCCGTGGACCTGCTAGTCTTCACCCTTCCAAATCCATATCTACCTTTAGAAATTTTAGACTTGTGGTTTTTCCTCCATAAATACTTTTAAACTTCCATGGAGCTAAAAATGTTCTTTGTTGTCTCTGAACTGCCAGCTGTATTTAATAAGTGCCAAGGCAGAGCTCTTGAAGGTGCCCATCCCCTTGTCCAGTCGTGTGGAAAATGAGCCTTCATGAGCCCTGAGGAAACCTGTGGGCTGTGGCCTCTACCCAGAAAGGCAGGTGTGCAAGGACACTGGAGAACCTAGCCAGAGCCAAGTGCTTGGTTTCTGTTCCTTGTGATTCAAGTTCCACAGGGTGCTGGAGATGGGACACCAAACAAACTCCATCCAGCTCTTGTTCTAAATCAGGTCAGAGACCTGTTGGAAGCAAGCCCCTGAGGTAGTTAATCAGTAACGTCAGCTTGGTACCAATTTTCTGTGTAAGCTTGACACAAAAGCCATTTGTAATTTTTTTTTTTTTTTTTTTTTTTTAATGTGTATGAGCGTATTGCCTGCGTAAGTGCACCTGTGTCATGCAGTACCTTCGGAGGACAGAAGGTGATGTCAAACGCCCTGGAACTAGAGTTATGGATGGTTGTTAGTCACCATATAGGCGCTGGGATTCGAACCTCATCTTCTGCAAGAATAACTAGTGCTCTTAACCCCTGAGCCTTCCCTCCAGGCCCTGTTTGTAGTTCTTGACATTCTGCTGTCACAGATTGAAAACAAGGCAGACCATTTTCCCCCCATTCTGTGAATTGTAGTTTGGAGGTTTTGCCTTATTTAAAAGGTTTTTAAGTGAGTTGTTATGATAAAGGATGAGGCCTGTCTTGATTCCTGACCCTTAGCTAAAAAACACCACATAGAATTAAATGCTTTAAAGTCAGCATCTGTATGGGACACAGTAGCTTCGCAGTAAATGTTGGGTTTTTTGGTTTTTTTCCAGCCTCTCTGAACTAATCTTTCTTCTATGCCATTTATACCAAATTCTGTCCCCAAGAAGTCTGACAAGGGCAACAGGTCATTTCAAACGTGGTAACATCTTTGCCTCTTTAATACCATAGAAAGTGTGAGGAGAGAGCTGTCTGAAATCCATCCCTTTGCTTCATGGCATCACATACCAGGGCTGCCTGTCCCAAGTGCGTGACCCTGTGCAACTGCCGCCTAAATTCTACCTTGCTCTAAAATTGTAGACACTGGCTCAAATCTTTGCTACCTCCAGAACACTCCCATGGCTCCTGTATCAGCTCCCCTCTTCGTGGCTGTGTAGCTGCAAAACAGGCAAGGATGTGTTGACTTGCTTTATAGGTACAGATTTAATAGTGTAATATATAACTGATCCAAATTTCATAATGCAGAAGCGCCAGTGCTCTACCCAGTGATACACAGGAAGCCGTTGTTTACTGGAGAGCTCTGTTCTGGTCAGCAAATTAACTGTCTTTATCTGTTTGAGCTGCTTTAGTTTGGCAGCCCAAGAATAGGGGGAGGTGGGAGAGAAAAGTAACAGGAAATGGGAAATCAGGGTAAGGGGAGTGAAATTCTCACAGTGGATTACAGAGCCACCCAGAACCGGAAACAGAGGAGCCGAGAGCTTATCTGTGACCTTATTTCCCACCGCACTGGTTCCTCATCTTCTCTGCTTTATTTAATAAACAGTATAAAGTTTCCCAGGCCAAATGTGTACGTTAAAATGCCTTGTTCTCTTAGATACATCCCAGTTGTGTTTCCCTTTTTGATATTTGTGCATGGGCCTGAATATTACTAAAAATTACAAGCACTTAAAATAATTTGAGACCATTATTTCAAGAGATCTAATTATAGTCTCCTGTGGCTTCATTGGCCAGACATTATCCATATTACAGCTGGGGGAACTGGTCCAAGTTCAATGTTAATTAAATTTGTGATTAAAAAGAGCACTGTGAACCAAACCGGTTTAAAGTCATGTGTGAATTAATGTGATTAATGCATGATAAAGAAGCACTTTTTATGAGCATAGAATTCTGATCTCTAAGTTTTGTAAAATTCAAGTGAACATACTAGCCCTGAAGTCTACTAACCAACATATGTGATCAGGCCAGGCCTAGTATCACGGGCCTTTATTCCTAGCTTCAGGGAGGCAGAAACAGACGGATTTCTGTGAAATCAAGCCAGCCTGGTCTACATAGTGAGTTCCAGTCCAGCTGGGGCTACAGGAAGACCCTGTCTAAATAAAAAAATGGATCAACCTCCAATCTTTCCTGCCTAATTATAAACTCAGGTTTTTTTAATTATTTTTATTTTATGTATATGTGTATATAGCTTGCATGTAGGTCAGTGCACCTGTGTCGTGCAATGCCCATGAAGGACAGAAGAGGCCATCGGATCCCCTTGAACTGGAGTTACGGACAGTTGTTAGCTGCCATGTGGGTGCTGGGATTCGAACCTGACTCTTCTGCAAGATCAACCAGGAAGTTTTGTTTTGTTTTGAGACAGGGTCTCCCTGTAGCACCAGGCTGGCCTTGAACTCACAGAGATCTGCCTGCCCCTGCCTCCTGAGTGCTGGGACTAAGGGCATGTGCCCAGCTTCAGTTAGTTCTTAGAACATTTAGAAAGAGGCAAACATCGAGCCAAGAATAGCCAAAATGCTCCTGAGGAGTATCAGGTTGGGAGAACCAGCCTTGCCAGAGAGCAAGTAGCAAAAAAACATATTCTGGGAGAGCTGTCAGTGGAGGGGGAACAAGTGAGAAGAGTTTAATAACACATAGGTATGAAAACACCATAATGAAACCCGTCACTTTGAATGCTATCTTAAAAAATTAAAAGTTTAAAAAAAAACAGCATAAATAAAACACTGAAGAGTCCAAAGAGACTAGAAAATCATGCCATGCATTGGAACAGACACCCGGTTTCTAAGAGCACAAAGCCAGAGTTTGCCCAAATATCTGGGACCACTATCTCATACAGTTATATACTAATCCAAATCAGTTCAAATGGATCGAGGACTATATGTGAGCAGCAAATTCTTAAACTATGAGAACATTTCAACAATACTGGGATAAGATGCTGTGGGACAAGACATGGCACACTAATTACATTGAGATGAGAACTATAAAGATACTGAAAGGCAAATCAAAATTAAGAGAACTCAGGTGGCGAAGGCCAGAGGATGAGGAGTTTGAAGCCAGGCCGGACGATATTTGTAACACATAATTGAATGAAGATCAGTATCCAGAATATAAACAGGTAAGCATGCATGCCCATATTCACAGTACAGTCCAATCCAATAGAAAAAGACAAAACTCAGGATCATCATTTCACAAGAAAGGAAACCTGAAATGGCCAAGCAGCCTATGAAAAATGGTCCAACTGTACAAGTGTTCTAATTCACTTCTCCAGTGCTACAATTTTAAAGTATTCTCATGCCTACCCTAGTAGTAATGTTGGCTAAGTATTAGTGGAATAACTGGCATACTTACTGTTGGGATTATACATTGTAGCAGTACCCCAGAAATATTTGCTATCTTCTGGTAAAATATACATGCAACCTAGGATCTCACAATTCCACTGCTGGGAATCTATGTATCTAGAGAAACTCATACTTAAGCCCAACAGGAAAAAGCTGAAGAACATCAGAGCCGGCCTGGTGGCAGAGGTTTGTAATCCTCTTTGTAATCGTAAACTCAGTGCCAGCCAGGGCAACAGGGAGACTTACATTAAAAAGTTAAGAGGGCTGGGAAGCCAGGTGTGGTGATACACACGTGTAATTCCAGCACTTGGGACAGAGGCATCAAGATCAGAAGTTTAAGGCCAGCTGATATTGAACTAGTCTAGCTGTAGAAAACAGTGTAGTTTCAAAACATGCATAATTTTAAAATACAAAACGAAAGTGGTAAACATTTGTCATTATAAAGGAAAAACTATTTTAAAA